TCTCCCTTTTCCTTCGTCTGTGTTTATTCGATTTCTTTCCTTACCTATGTTTAATCAATTATTTTCCCTGTTTGTGCATCCGATTTTACTACTATATAAACTCCTACCCCCATTTCCTTTAGATAGACGGAAATCGCTATAATCTCACTAAAATTTGAAGCTCTATTCTGTTATTCTTTCATTATCTCGTTTTATACTTTGGTTCTTGGCCGGCTGGAAGCCAAGGCCACCGAAATTCTGGCTTCTTGCTCTTCGTTGATATTCAGAATACTGTGGACTTTTTCTCTCTCTTGTTTTTTTGCTTAACCGGTGAGTTACTGGACTTCGTAGTTTCATTCCAATGTACCTGTGATTTGCATATGTTTTCACTTCTGGAGATTGTAGTTTAATGTGTTTTTCTTGGTTGTTCTTGTTGGGTGTGCGAACAAAGTCCCACATTGGTAGCTGAAAAGATTAGGAGTCTACATATAAGGTGTAGGGATCTCTTAATGGTGTGAGGCCTTTTGGGGAAAACCGTGCGGGCTTGGCCCAAAGCTTACAATATCACACCAGGTTTAGAGTGTCATTGGGCCGTTTTAGCCCAACAACTGGTATCAGAGCCCAGGTTCAGCGAAACGAGTATGGAGATGGCGGAGTAATGGTGCAGGGCGGTGCACACACAAGAAGAAGCTAGTTGCGGGCTTCGGTTGCCATAATACTCTAACAATGTGGGTGGCACACAGTGAATCTCAAAAATTGACCCGTGGATCGTGGTAGTGGGCCACGTGGAACTTAGTTCGAGGGGGAGATTATTGGGTGTGCGAACAAAGTCCCACATTGGTAGCTGAAAAGATTGGGAGTCTACATATAAGGTGTAGGGATCTCTTAATGGTGTGAGGCCTTTTGGGGAAAACCGTGCGGGCTTGGCCCAAAGTGGACAATATCACACCATGTTAAGAGTGTCATTGGGCCGTTTTAGCCCAACAGTTCTTGTGTGCAATTCTGATTGCTTCACTTCAGTTTTAGGTCTCTTTAACCTTTGACTTCACTGTGTTGATAATTTGAAACATGCCTAAACCCGATTTGAGTAATTTCGATTCCTTTCAAGCTTATCCAGCCTATGTGTTGCAACTTACTGATGATTAGGACCTTTGCATCTCTTTGTTGTTTAATTTTGCTATCAATCTTGTTACTTGAACATGCTTTACTTACATGATTCTTATCTCTTTTAATAGACTAGTTGATTGTGTTCAAAAGCATGAATGTATACATTAACTATACAGCATAAGTCTGTCCTATTCTGAATCTGTTGTGATGATATCCTGCCTATGTAGCATGTTTTATCCTGTTCCTTATTAGTATATTTCTAGCATAACTTGTCTTCCGAGTAGTTGCAGTGATCTGTTCTCATCATGTCTAGATTCTGTTGCCAATTAGTATGATTCCTTTACTATGAGTCTGTGTATACCAATCCTGCAAACGTGTTTTGTTAATGTGTGACTACTTATGCACTAGGTGTTGAACTTGTTCTTCTGAATCTTTGCTAAGTCTATTCTTAAAACCTAAAGCCTGTTCGATAATCTGCTCTATGTGCTCAACTTGACTATGTTTGTATACTTCAGTGTTGTTCCTCAACCTTAGTTTACTCCCTTTCACTTGTTACCTGGGCTCTTTTGAGTTCTCATTCTTAGCCGGCTGAAAGCCAAGGCTACCTAAGTTCTATCATTGACCTCTCTAGTGTGAGCACTGCTCGGGGTCCAATTGAGACCCTTGTGAATTCTAACACACTAGGATTTAGTCCTCAATCATTCCCTGAATCTCCTCTATTAACCTGCCTAGTGTGAGCACTGCCCTGGGTTCTTGAAGCCCTTGGGAACTCTGACACACTAGGGTCTAAGGTTCCTTGACACTCTGTCCTAAATGCTCCATCCTACCCCTTTTTCACCAACTGAATGAGCCAATGGGCTTGTGCACGGCTGTTTTCTGAATCTTTGATGGCTACTGGGTTTTGGCTATTTTATGTAAATGTGGAATGTATTCTGGGTTTGATTGGCTATGACTTCTGGGCTGTGGTGAAGTTTGTTGGATGTGAAATTGAAGGCCTGACAGAGCTGGATATACTTTGGGCTTGTCTTAGCCCACTATAGTTATTTCTATCTCTTTGTAATTTATTTCATTCATTGGGCCTGTAATAATTCTGTAATAATAATTAGGGTGTTAGTAAGATTGGGAAAATGGGCCTACTCTAATATTTGCATGAAATGGGTAGAAATCCTTCTTATAGGAAATAAAATGACCAATCTTTCAATTGCAGCATGTTCATTAGATACCATGATCATAAGATTATATTAGTTTATGTTCTACCAATCTGCATTTTAGAAATCATGCCTATAGGGTTTTAATTGGTTAATGTGCTGTTGTTATAATTACTCACTTGGGAAACATGCCTATAGGAGCTAAAACCAGTTTCAATCGCCAATTGCAGAAATCCTATAGGATAATCCCACTCGCTTTTAAGTGCTAATATCACGCTTTCAAACATTGTTTCATTGCCACTATTAGAAAGCATGCATATAGGATCAAACTGAGTAATTTTGAATATCTCCCATGGTTATTACTGCCAACTACTGCACCTAGATATCATGTCTATAGGTTTAAACACTTATAATATGTAATAATCAGCATATAATATCAGGTTCCCTAAATATTGTAGTTATTTAGAAGTCATGCCTCTAAAATAGCACCTTGCATCTGAAACTGTCTGCTCGAGGTCATATAGAAACCATGTCTATAGCGCTTAATAGCTTTAATTTGGCCCAATTCTGAAGCTACCAAAACGTCTAATGTGTTTGTGTGCATTTGTTGTCTAAGTGTGAAGGCTAACTTGAGCCCCTTTATTGCAATTTCGTGTAGTCCTATCTGTTCTTGACTGTCGCCTAGTTTTATTATTTTGAGTGTTGAGTCTAGAACTACCAAAATAGAGGTCCAAACGCCTCTTGGACCATAGGCATGGGATGGGTAGCGCACGCATAAGGTACGGCTTAGAATCAATTAGTGCACCTTAGGTAACAACTTAAAGATAGTAATCGGGTAGCAGGAGATGATAGTCTGTGCCCGCTGAATGATACGAGTAATACTCCATCTCGAGGGAGTAACAAAGTATTATTTATGTTGCTTAGTGTGATCCTTTAGGCTAAAAAACTTAAGACCCCCCCTCCCATCTTGTCTTAAAATCAAATATTTTGTTATTGGTAGATTTTTGATAATAATCGCCCAACTTCTTGTCTTTCCCTCTTGTTTTGGATAATTCATATAACTTGAGTTCGGCCGGGACCCACAGTTGTGGACCTCGAAGAGTGCCTAACACCTTCTCTTCGAGGTAATTTGAGCCCTTACTCAATCTTGGTAATGTAAACCAGTTAACCAGAGTTATTTGCAAATAGGTGCCCTAACGCACCTTAAAAATCATTAGGTGATGACTCTCCTCTTTTAACACCTTCCTTAAAAGAGTTGTCACGTGTCGAAATCCGATTTCGTGAGAAAAAGGGGTGCGACGGTTTATATTAACAATATTCAAGTTTTAACGGGAGTTATGAAAGAAATATGTAGCACGAACTCACTTTGGAAGCGTAGCTTTTGCAGCTTTAATGTGTGGTGCAGTTTTAATACTGTAATTAATGTTATTTGACAAGACTTTAATCATAGTTCTCGTTTAAGAAAAATCATAATTATTGTTAAATCTAACATTTAGAATTTGTTAAATATTGACAAAGATAAAACAATTACTTACTTTTGGAAACTTAGAGGACCAAAATTGTCCATGAATAATATATTTAAGGGACAAATATAAACCTGGTCACAAACTTAAAGAACCAAAATTGTTCAAAAGTATATTTTAGGGGCTTTTTAAAACCTACTCGCAATCATAAGAGACCCTTTTTGTCATTTTCTCTAACAAAATGTGTCGCACCTCCTTTTTCCGAAGGGAACGGGGAGTTTTTCCACTTAAAGTGATATTAATCGAAATGAGATTATTTATTCAATTTCAGAGTCGTCACTTGGGATAATTTATGGTGTCCCAAGTCACCGGTTTGTTTTAAATCCCAAATCGAGAAAATTTGACTCTGTTTGAAAGTCTGCGAAAACCAGAAGACTGGGTAAGGAATTCTGTTAACCCGGGAGATGGTGTTAGGCATTTCCGTGTTCCGTAGTTTTAGCACGGTCGCTTTAATCATACCTGACTTAATTAATAATTTGAATTACGTAACCTATGTGCATTTTACCTTTTACCGCTTTTAATTAGGGGGCTTATGGATTTAATCTTTGAAACAGATTACATGTGTGTAAATCCATTTAATTTGGGGCGCTAAAATCTTGTTACGCGTACGTGTACAAAATTAATCACGCTTTATTAATTAAAATTGTTTTGCCAAAGACGCGCGAACGGGTACTTTGATTTATTTGTGTGGGAGACCATGATTATGTTACACGAACATATACATAATCACGATAATAGATTAAAAGCGCGCCTAATATACAAATATTGATGGTCAGTTAATTTTCTAAGCGTGAAGGTCCATATCGTGAATAGTTCATTATGGACAAGATATTAAATTAACTAAACTAAACTTGTGTATTGATTAATTCCTAATTGATTTGCTCATGTGTTTGAAAAATGTTCAGGCGTTACTAAACTCAGTGGATGCCTTAAATTATTAGTGAATGAATTAATTGAGGCCAGGACAAATCTTGTAATATTATATCCTATTAATCCGCCGGCATTTGGCAGATTCGAATAAGGCATGCGAAAGGGCTTAACTGAAGGGCCCAATTCTCACAACAGCCTGCCTTTCAGGTTATCAAGGATTTTAATAGTTGGGCTTGTAAATACATCCACTGGCCCAAATACATTCACAGTAAATGATCTTGATTTAAATTCGAGAAAAAAAACAAAGAGAATGAAGGAGAAAAATAAATCTGGGCTACCAACCATGGCCCAACAGCATCGAACAGTGGAATCATAGTAAAAAACAACCTAACTAAATGATCCAATTAATTACATGGATGAGAACTTAAAAATGAATTTTACACAATGCTAATTCCAATGTGTGCTTAACAGCTACAAACCAAAAGTGGAACTTCACCTAGGTTGTCAACTGCAAATCAGGCCAACATGTGGCCAAATCTGCTACTATAGACCTCTAAATCTTTTATTTTTTGATCAACAGTGGACTAGCTATCAAATGACCATCAAACATTCGTTCAGAAGAAAATAGGGAATGAGAAAAAACGATCATTAAGACATTTGAATTGCTTGGCATGGGTTTGTATTCTTCAATTCACAATTGTGACAACCTGGTGGTCACAATTGCCAAATTATTAAACTCCTGCAATGAAAAAACCCCAAAATACGACACAAGCATACTTCAAATCTGATTAGTGAATAAGCATGGCTCAACTAGATAACTAATACGAACTAACTTTGAACAGGAAGTTCACGAGTGAGGATTTAATATCATGAATTATAGTGGAACTGCAGAATTAAATAGGTTCATCAAATAGGCGAATCAACAAAGAGAAAAACGCACATTTAACAGTAATCAGCATGATTTTAAACCCATCTATCACAAGCAAACTAAACATACACAAGTTAAGTCATGAGTTTACATGTCTAGTCTATCGTAATCAAATAGAAGCATAGCAGAAGTAAGAAATAGCACGAACAAGCTTCAGTCACTCCATTAAAAGAAATGCAAGTTTTACAGATGTGTACCTAAAGCTGGAAACAAGCTTGAAACAGCCAAATAAAGGCAATAGAAATGGAGAAAGAAGCTCAAACAGATCCAGGAACAAATAGAACCAGCGAACTGCAACTTTAACAGCTTAAGGTACCAATGAAATCCCAACAAATTTGTCTTCTTTCCCAAAACTCCGTGAGAGTTGAGAGTTGAGTTAATGTATCAGATTTTAGAGAAAAACTGGAGTGTGTTTTTTAGCAAAAATTAGGGTGAAATTCCCGTGTCTTTTTTGTGAGTGAATATACAGATATTAATGTGTGTGTGTGAGGAGTGTTGGGTACTTTTTATAGAGTGTGAGAGTGCAAGATGATAGGGAATGAGAGAGAGTCTCAGGGAATCTGCCAGCCAGCTCCCTAAAAATCAGTGAAATAACATCTTTTGCAACTGAAATGGACAGCTGTCCAATTCCAGAAATTCCTTCCTATTCTTCTAACCCCTTTAACTTCTCAAATTGACCCCTTTTAACCCAAATTTAACCTAACTTCATCATCTTATTGCATTTTGGTCCCTTTTCTCTATTCTATAACTTTCCAGCTGTTAAAAGAAAAAGATTCTGCTTAATTCTAATTCCAAATGCCCCCTTAAACTTGGTTAATGACAAATGAACCCTAAAAAGGATCATATGGATCAGAACAAAAGCAAAAATGCAAAAACCAAACCATTTAACAAATAACTTATTTTAGTACCTAGTTAAGTCAAAATTGATTAAACTAACAACTTATGCGAATAAACTAATTAACATGTAATCAAACTATTAAATAGGCATATAAAACACATACTAATCCTAAATCGACTTGATTATTTAAATATTAGAATCTATTGTAAAAAACTAATACAAAACAACTTAAACACCCAATTCCTAGACAGAAATAAGAAGAAATAATAAGAACTAGAATCAAAATAAAAGAAGAAGAGGGAGATGAATATGAAGAAACAAACTGAAACTAAAGGGAGACAATGAGGGAAGTTATACCTGCCGAATTGGAAAAAGGAACGGGTCGACCAACAAAACTTGAATGGATTCTGGTGGCTTTGAAATGAACTAAAACCAACATTAATCAATTGTTCTCGTTAAGAACAATTTACCAATATAAATTTTAGGTCAAAACAAGTGAATTTTCCAAAGAAATTAGAAAAAGAAAAATTTAGGTTTCTAGGGTTTCTGAGATTTGAAATTTAGGGAGTTCTAGTGAGGATTGGGGAATGAGGCTGGGATGTTTGGAAAGAGGAGAAGATGGGGATTGTAGGGTAAAATTTTGGGGTTATTTGGAGCAGTGCCGCCGCCGTGGGCGATTTCCGTCGGCGACCAATGGCGGAGGTTCAGAGAGAGGTGAGGGGGTGAGTTTTGGGAGAAGTCTCTAGGGTTGGGGGGGGGGGTGGCTTCAGACAGTTAAAAGGGGGAAGGACAGTTAGTTGCAGACCGTTGGATTGGGAGATATGAACGGCTGAGATCAACTGTGACCAAAACAGGGTCGTTTTGGTCATTTGGTGGGGTGTACTGGATTTTAAATGGGTCTGGGCTGGACTGGGGTGAGATAGTGTGGGAAATTTGTGCCATTAGGTCACATGCTTGGCCCAGAATTAGACTATAACAAGACCTCCTTCATTCCTTTGTTTTTTCTTTCTTTCTCTTTGATTTTAAAAACAAATCTAATTAAATAAAATCCTAAACTAAAGCCTAACTTATATCTAATTAAATAAAATTACCCTATTTTCTATTTATAATATCAAAATAACTAATTAACTCAAAACTAATGAAAGGAAATTAATAAATTAAAACTAAAAGCCAAAAATGTAAAAATGACCAATATGTTTGTGATTTTTGTCTAATAATGCAATTAATTCATGTAATTAAATCCTAAATTCAATTAAACCTAAAATGCTATGCAATAAATATTTTAGACATCTTTTAGTATTTTATTATAATTTTAAAATATTAAATAAGCAACTAAATGCAAACAACATGTGTAAACAACAAGAAATTCCTAAATTTTTCATAAAAATTAAAATAATTAGAAAAATTTATTTTTTTTGAATTTGTAGAAATATTTTTAGTCGGGTAAAAATCACGTGCTCACAGCTGCCTCTCTTTGCTAGGAAACACGAAGAGTTTTCGGGCAAAGATAAAGTGAGCAATTACGAGCAATTTTTGCCCGCCTGGATACTCCATGGGAAGCGTTTTGAAAAAGCTTGACCGAACCTTGCTTCAAACGTTGCCTACATATCCTTGGCTATAAAGGAATCAGGTCTGTGTAGTTCTAGAAACTTTGATAGCTGGGACTATCGAAAAGTTATGATTTCACTGTTGTTGCTACTGTTACTGCTTGCTGAACTCCTTATTACACCAAAATCAAAATGAAAAGAAACTAAACAAGCCTATCAGCTATGAGTTACAAAATTCCTATCTATAAGTCTTTTGAAGCTTGATCTTAAATCTTCTACAGTCCTGTTGTGCATCTCGAACTGTCGACTCGCATTCTTGAGGCGAGCTTTTGCTACTTCTAACTTGAATTGACCCTATTCTTCAGGCGGGCTCCTGCTACTGACTTGAAACTTGAAATAAATTCTAAAATGAATTCTCTCACTCTCCAGGTGGGCGCCTGCTACCGACTTGAAACTTGAAATGAATTCCCTCGTTCTCCAGGTGGGCGCCTGTTACTAAATTGAAATGAATTCCCTCCTTCTCCTAGTGGGCGCCTGTTACTAACTTGAACATTGAAATGAATTCCCTCATTCTCCAGATGGGCGCCTGCTAAACTTGAACATTGAAATGAATTCCCTCATTCTCCAAGTGGCACCTGTTAATGACTTGAACTTGAAAATAAATTCCCTCATTTTCAGGTGGGTGCCTGCAACTGACTTGAAACTGAAATGAATTCCCTCATTCTCCAGGTGGGCGCCTGCTAATGACTTGGACTTGAAAATAAATTACCTCATTCTCCAGGTGGGTGCCTGTAACTGAATTTGTATTGAAATAAACTCTGAAATAAATTCCCTCATTCTCTAGGTGGGCGCCTGCTGATGACTTGAACTTGTAAATAAATTCCCTCATTCTCCAGGTGGGTGCCTGCAACTGACTTGATCTTGAAATAAATTACCTCATTCTCCAGGTGGGCGCCTGCTAATGACTTTAAACTAATTCTCTCGTTCTCCAAGTGGGCGCCTGCAACTTACTTGAAAATTGAAATGAACTCCCTCGTTTTCAAGGTGGGCGCCTGCCACTGACTTGAAATTGAAATAACTCTGAAAAGAATTCCCTCGTTCTCCAGGTGGGCGCCTACGACTGTCTTGAAACTTGAAATGAATTCCCTCGTTCTCCCGGTGGGCGCATGCTACTGACTTAAAAATTGAAATATTAACCCTCGTTCTCTAGGTGGGTGCCTGCAATCACAATAAAATAGACAAAACAAAGGAAATTTTCTGTCCCAGTTCGTACCAGGAACATTTGTGAATGTTAATTGAATCCCATTATCCAGGAGGGTCGTGAAAACTTGAAGACTAAATCCCATTATCCAGGAGGGTCCTGAAAACTTGAAAACTACATCACATTATCCAGGAGGGTCCTGAAAACTTAAAAATAAATCTTATTATCCAGGAGGGTCCTGAAAACTTAAAACTGAACTTAACTGGAACATGCTTTCCACGTAGAGGATCCCTGTAGAGCAAACAAAATTTCTTGCCCCGGTTAAACAAAGAAAATCTTATCAGTTTGAAAATGTGGTGGTTAGTTTGTGGCATCTTTGCTGAAGGTGTCTGCTTTAGCCACTGCCATGCTTCATTCAGATCAGCTGCTTCAGGCTAACAAGGAATTGTTTGACTTTCAGATCGAACCTCGACCACAAAAAGAAAACCTCTGAATGACCCGAATCCCTTACACTCACTTGTTGTATGGAATTTTCATCCTGACAACTGTTTAACCTTTGAATTTTCTCAAAATTCAAGAGTCCCTTGATTACCAGAACTTCAGTTATCACCACATTGCTCCTTCCAAATCATGTCACTTGCGATGTTCTTGGCCTAACTTTGCCTTATGCAATCAAGGAGCCGGTAGTAGGCTTTGAAGCCTTTTCTTGCTTTTTTAACAAAGACTAACTTGAAAGTGACTTTGAAAAACACACCCAAAAGAAAACAAAGCGAAGTGACTTTGAGAATTAGGAATAGAAAGGAAAATTTTAAACAAAGACGACTATTTGAAGAAGAATGGAAAAGAGACTTATCTGAGTGAAGCAGCTGGCTCCAATGATCATGACATGCATTTCGAACTGACCAGCCTAACCTGTCCAACCAATCACATTTCCAGATCATGTCATGTCTCCATATTTCAAAAACCGGGATTTCGATGATCCAATTTCTCTGTAAAGTCACATACCTCATTCGACTTGTAATGCCCCGAAGGGTTTTCACCAACAAGCCTCTCTCGTTTGTTCATCTCTCAGCTCACTGTCACCTTACGGTGCCTGTGAAGGTTTTCACCAATAAGACTCTCTTATTTTAAATTTTCTCTCAACTTAGTGTCGCCTTATGGTGCCCGTGAGGGTTTTCACTAATAAGACTCTCTCATTTTATTTATTTTTCCTTGTGACCATGAACAAAGTGTTACCCATGATGTACATCATACCTCTATATTGCTTGACTTGACATCCTCAAAGATTGATCGGAAGGTCTTTCTTTAGACCGTAGTGTAGGCTTTCGGACAGGGTTAGAAAGAAAGGGTGGCATGAAAGCTCAAGACAACTCACGATGAAAGGGTTCAAAATTATAACTTTTGGAATCAGATCTTTCTTGCGAAACTAAACTTCTGCCCCGGTTTCTCTGAGTCTAGAGAATTTTGGATTTTTATTTGATGGGACCAAACCTCAGAGTAAGGCTGCCTACGTATCCTTAAAAGGAATCAGGTCGAACGTAGTTCAACCATAAAAATTGTTTTATTTTTGTTACTTTTTTTTCTTTTGCTTTTCTTTTCTTCTTTTTTTCTTTTTTTCTTTTTTTCTTTCTTTTTCTCTTTTTTTTTGTTCTTTTCTTTTCTCTTCTCTTTTTTCTCTCTTTTTTCATTTTCTAACTCTACTCCTGATTCCAAAAGAGGGGTATGAAAGAAGATAAATAAAGCTCAAAGGGGTAACAAAGGATAAAAGTGTTTGGGGTAGCAGAATAAAATGCCTTCATCATTCCATCTTTGAACATGCCAAATACAAAAATTCGACTAAAGATAAGCAAACAAATCATACATAATATCTCTTGACTGCATCAGAATTGATAGCCATATCTACACATTTGCCTTCTAAGTCTGTTAAATGCAAAGAACCATTGGGTAACAATC